CAGCAGGAGCTCCTTTGCATATTAGGCCACACACCCCTAGTGTAGCCAATCCCCCAAGAGCTTACAGTAGCCCCAGTAAGAAAAGCTCTGTAAGCTCTTGGAGGATTGGCTACACTAGGGATGTGTGGCCTAATATGCAAAGGAGCTCCTGCTGTGAAGTGCTGTTTTGGACCTGGGTCTCCCAGCTCCTGCTCTGCCATCCTAAGAGCCACATCACAACTCCCCACACATGTATGCAAGCATCACCTATGTACAAAGTTGCCAGCTCTGGGTTGGGAAATACCTGGACATTTTGGGGGGGGAGCCTGGGGAAGGTGAGGTTTCAGGAGAAAAGGACCTTATGCCGTGGAGTCCTCCCTCCAAAGTAGCCATTTTCTCCAGGGGAACTGATTTTGGTCGCCTGGAGGTCAATTGTAACGGCAGGAGATCTCCAGGTGCTCCCGGAAGCCCGACCTGGAAACGTGGCTGGTTTTGACAAGCCGCCCGGCTCCTTTAACATCACCTGGCTACGTGACTCTTGCCCGTGGGCTGCCACAGCGCGGCGCTTAAATCAGACCCTCCCTCAGCACCTGGGGCAAAACGGGGTGGGATTGGGAAAGGGACGAGCGGCCCTCAGCTCCTTTTTTAAAAAGCCTGGGTCGAAAGAAAGAGTGCGACAGAAACCCGCGGGTGAAAAAGAGCAGCCCCCGACGATAAGCCTTGCGGGCCCACCCGTGATTAAAGGGGCCGCTTTCAGCCTCATCATGCCCACTCCAAGGACCTGCCCTCGCCCTCCACCGAACAAACTCCCTAGAGCGAGGTTTCCCCCTTTCTCCCACCCCCGGGAGTTTCCGTCTGTGGCTTCTCCCCGCTGCTTCCCCCCCTCGTATTGACAGCTCTCTACCCCACTCACCCCTACAGCGCGCAAAGCTCTTCCCGGCTGGCTGTGGACGCGGCCATCTGCAACCACGTGGGAAGGAAAGGGAGGAGAATGTCTGAAGCGGAGCCGGGCAGGGGACCCCTAATGGCGAGCTCCGGGAAGCGCGTCGCCACAGGAATCGATTCGGATTCTAGAAGCGCGGCTCGAGAACGTTCGCGCGCGGGGTGCGAACGAAGCGTTATTATCCGACAGACCGGTGCTCGGGTGGCCTTCCTCCCGGCGTCTCCGCAAGGCCTGGCCCAGATGCCCCAGGAAGAGGTTGTAGAGGGCGGAGGTGGTGAAAAGAACCGGACCCCGCGCCTGCAGGATGGCATTCCTCGGAGTCCCCCTACGGGACTCCTTCGCCGCAGGTGGAAAACTGGCATAACGCACCTGCTGACAAACCCTTCTCCCTGAAGTGCCTTTTCTTTTTTCTTTTTTTGCAGGACGTTTTTGGATGTGACTCTCCCCATATACAATTCAAATACATCTGGGGGTAGCCAATAGGGTTGCCAAATCTGGTTTGGAAAATACCTGGAGACTTTGGGGGTGGAGCCAGGAGAGGGTGGGGTTTGGGGAGGGGAGGGGCCTCAGCCTGGTACAAGGCCATAGAGTCTCCCCTTCAAAGCAGCCATTTTCTCCAGGGGAGCTGAGCTCTATCAGCTGGAGATCAGTGGTAAAAGCGGGAGATCCCAAGGCCCCACCTGGAGGCTGGCAACCCTAGTAGCCAACTTCAAGTTGGGAAAGTTTGGGGAGTGGAGTGTGGGGAGGATGTCAGAACATAAGAGAAGTCATCATGTTAGATCAGGCCAGTGGCCCATCCAGTCCAATACTCTGTGTCACACGGGGGCCAAAACCCAGGTGCCATCAGGTGGTCCACCAGCGGGGCCAGAACTCCAGAATCCCTCCCACTCCCCACCCCCAGCACCAAGAATACAGAGCATCACTGTCCCAGACATAGCATTCCATCTATAAAAGGTAAACGTTCCCTTGCTCGAAAGCCAGTCGAGTCCTACTCTAGGG